CTGGGCCTTAGCCTTCCTTGTCGCATCCCTGCGCACTCTGACAATGTCCCTGTATTCCTCCCAAGTGGCCTATCCCCTTTGCCACATTCTGTAGACTTCCTCCTTCTTCTGTTGGAGTTTGGCCAGGAACCCCTTGCTCATCCATGCAGGTCTCCTTCCTGCTTTGCTCGACTTCTTATTCAGAGGGATGCACCGCTCTTGAGCCTGGAGGAGGTGATGCTTGAATATTAACCAGCTTTCTTGGACCCCTCTTCCTTCTAGGGCCCTACCCCACGAGATTCCCCTAAGTAGGTCCCTCAAGAGGCCAAAGTGAGCTCTCCTGAAGTCCTGAAGTTGCAGTCTTACTTATTGCCCTGCTTCCTCCTCGTAGGATCCTCAACTCCACCATCTCATGGTCACTGCAGCCAAGGCTGCCCCCAACCTTCACCTCTCCAACTAGACCTTCTGTGTTTGTTAGTGCAAGGTCTAGCATTGCACCTCTCCTCGTTGGCGTCTCACCACCCTTTCTCAGCTGGATGATGTAGCAGAGAATTCCACGGTTTCCTTCTTGGCTGTTGATTAAAGTTTACAGCTGAAACTTAGTTTGCGTTACTTTCTTTCTAAGCACTGGTGTCAGAGTAGCGTGTGCTTAGTGTTGTATCTTTTCTATTAGGTCCCTCTGTAAAACAGGCAGGAGGCAGCTCAAGCCCTGAGTAGCTGTTCACATATGAAATGGACACTCTGAAATTAGCAAAATCACACGATAATGATTTTACAGGAGTGTGTGTGTGTATGCACCCCATAGAATTGCAGGCTACATTATGATTGGATGCAAGAGACAGTGAAAGAACACCTGCCTGGGAACTGCTGCACAGGCATTCATCTCACTCTCCCTTTTCAGTGTTGTCAAAGTGGTTTTCATTTGCTTGGCATCATGTGATGTTTTGAGGTGCATGAGCACAATTGGCACCTGGTGCAGTATATTTCTGATCTATATCTGCCATACGCTGCTCCATTGGCTTTGGGACCATATGGTCAATTTTCTGAGCACTGTCACTGTCGCAGTGCTGTCTCCTAAGCTCCATGCCCCTGCTATTGTAGCTTACCTGTCCTCTCATTTAAGTACATCTCTGGGCTTGGCTTAACCCAAGAAAGTCATGGTTCTTTCTGCATCTGGAAAAAGAAGTGAAACACACTAGGGGCTGTTTAGATGTATATACTGCTGGCTTTTCTCCTGTGTCTGGGCTTTTTCTGGAAGATGATAGGCTCTGTTTGCAGGCTTTTAGGTCTGGTGGTCCCTGAATTGAGAAGGGAAGATAGCTCAACCTACTTAACCAGAAAACTGGGGCAAAGATGAGCGTGCAGTGCTGTCCTGAGATCATTAAGATGACAAGAAAGAGGCAGGAGAGAAAAAGGTTGGCAGAGACGGAAGGCCCTCCTTTGCTCTATTATAGATGATGGCCTTTGTGCTTGACACTGTGATAGTGATTCAGGTCAGCCTTGGATAATGGAGGTGGCTCTTTGCTGAAGTCTAGGCAAGCCCAGCTGAGTATGGCTCTTTATTGATGTGTTGATTGTGCCACAGGAAAACTTGAACACCTGGACAAGAAGTGGTGTTATGTGGAAGTGTTAGCATAAGAGTTTGCTATCCTGCAACTGTCTCACGCATGTGCGGCCCTGAACTGAGTTGAAGTTTTATAATTCCTGAAATGTAACAATTCTAGTGTGGGATCATGGAAGAGGTGAGAGGTGTTTTCACGAGCTCTTGTTGTCCAGAATAAACTACTGTTTGCAATGGGTGCCCTGTTGGAGGCTTGACTTTGGCTAGGAGACACAGTCTTACTGTTAAACAACTGCTGAATGCAAAAGTGATGGTGAAGTTGGAGTCACAGTCTCTAAACTTCTCAAGGTTAGATCAAAGTACGGGGAGAGATGGAGAGGAAGTTCAGAGGGAAGGATCTGTAGCTTAGAAAGGATCTAGCTAAGGTGATTGCCAAAGAAACCACAAAGACAGGGTCTTGAGCCTGCTGTTAAATGGAGTTGGCAAGCTCTCCAAACAATGATCTGTCTGGAGAAGCGGGCTGAAGAGTCTGTCAGAAAGCTCTTGAATTGCATATAGGACAGCCACTGAAACTTTGGCATGGGCAAACAACAGGGAGCCAAAGTGAGATTGCTGGAACAATGCTGTATCAACTAGAAGTTTTATATGCATTGATCTGGCATTGTTAGTTTATACTGGGTCAGCACTTTGCAGCATGTTGCTGTGTCTTTTTTGATCCTCTCTGAATAGCCTAAAGGCAGATTTACTGCATGTAAGCAGTACTGCCTGAGGTCTGTCTGTGGAACTCTGTCCACAGCTTTGCTCTTGGGTTTGTCTTGAACATTTAATTAAGCAGAGAAAAAATGTACAGTTACATTTGTGAGTCTGTTCCATCCCTAATTTCTGTTAATCCCTTGATTAAAATACAAGTAGCCATTGTGCCTAATGAACCTGTTGGTTTGGTAAGAGGGTCTGCTTTTCATGTGCCTGCTCATCAGGGATTTTAGAACAGCATTATTTACTGAACATTGACTCTTGCTGATGCTTCCCCTGAAGGGCTTAAGTAAGTCTAAAGTTGTTCTGCAGTAATTATCACATTTTTCATTTACACTGTTTTTATCAGGCTACATTAATGAGAGCTTGAATGTTTGTATGACTTTGTTTAATTACTGTATAATGGGTTCTCACAAGTTGCTGTGTTTTTTGCACACTGAAGCTTAGCTGATTTTAGAGAGTTTCTGTTCCTTTTTGCAGGAGTATCACTTTCATCTGAAAAGGTCTTTGAGATAGATTGAAGGGCTGTGCACTGAAGAAGTAATACCTTTCTTGTAATTCTGTAGGAAACCAAAGTAATCAAGATTTTCTGATGAGATTTACCATCAGCGGTAGCTTCAGTGCTGTTTGCTGCTCATGGTACTATTAGGTGTTTCTTTAAAAGCTTGCATTTATTTTGTTCCTTTTTCTACTACAGGTTTGTTAGGGATCTAGGAGAAATCCTTGTATGGTAGCTTTCAGAACTGAGTAAGTTATCCTCATGTGAAACTGATAGTTTATTCTCCTTGAAGCTGACACTACAGCTTGCTCTGAGGAGCTTTCTGGGAATGCTTATCTTCTGTTTCCATGCAACAACTGATTTGTCTTTACTGATATACATTCACAGTAGATTTTCTGGTTGGAGTGTGTGTATATAACCTTTTATTTGCATATTTCTCATCAACAGTTAAATTTCACTTCACTACCTTCTATCTTTTTCTGTTTCTTTCTTTTTTTTTTTTTTTTTTTTTAAAAAAAAACTGTGTGACTTTCCCCCCCCCTGATGGAATGCCGGCGAAGCAGTTGCTAAAACTCCATGCAACAACTGATTTGTCTTTACTGATATACATTCACAGTAGATTTTCTGGTTGGAGTGTGTGTATATAACCTTTTATTTGCATATTTCTCATCAACAGTTAAATTTCACTTCACTACCTTCTATCTTTTTCTGTTTCTTTCTTTTTTTTTTTTTTTTTTTTTTAAAGATAAACTGTGTGACTTTCCCCCACCCTGATGGAATGCCGGAGCAGCAGTTGCTGAAACCTTCAGAATGGAGCTACTGTGATTATTTCTGGGTAAGTAGGCAGCCAGCCACATGCCATATTGTAGCTTTTGCGCTTCAGCAAAAGTGGAACAAATAGCTTGACTTGTATTAAAAGGTACATAAACTGTACTGAACTGGGCTGAACTTTGATGTATTAGGGCAATGTGAGGGAGAATGAGGAAGCCCAGTGAAGATCACATGGAAACCATCTAGCCAGTCTCAGAATGAGGAAAATTATTAGAAGAGTGCCCAGAAAGGCGGAGTGAGTTTATCCAGCTGGAAGCTTTGGTCACAAAATGGAAAGGATTGGGAAAAACTAAAGATCTCAATGTCTCAGCTGAAAAGGCTGTGCAACTGGAGAGAGCAGAGATAGAGAGGTGGATGACAATGGAATGTTTAGTCAGTGTTTCTCAGAACACAAGAACTAGGGATGTACAATGAAACCAGAGTTATCAGATTTAAAACAAGCGGATTGTCATGAACTTTGTGAATGCAGCAAATTGTAGAATTCCCATAGAATATTGTGGAGGCCAAATTATATATATATATATATTTTTTTTTTTTTTTTTAAAGGATGAGGCCCATTAAATTCAATAATTGAGCTCTTAAATCAGTATGTTAGTGCAGCCTTCAGCACAAGCAATCTACAATGGCTGGGTATTCTATGTATACTCTTTTATTCTTAGCTCCACTGCTAGAGGCAGGATCCTGAACTAACCTTTTGTTTGTTATGATACAATTGTCCCTAAGTGTGGAGCTGATAGAAAAATTGTTCCACTGGAAAACTCATTTTTTGAGGAAATATTGCCTCAACAATGGAAATTTTATGAATTGCACATGTGTTTTCAGTATCAGTTAATGACTGTTTCACTTTTACAAAAAATATGTAATTGTTCCAGCTTCAACAATACTTCTGCTCTTGAATACTCAGTGTTTCTGTTTTAGGACTGCACAGGAGATTATGACTAATCGCAGTAACTTACTAAAATACACTAACACAATTGTAAATGATTATATTACTATGTTAAAGTTGATAGTTTCTTCAGTTTCTTCCAATATTACAATTTTAGTGAGCCATAGAATCAAAAATGGCTTGTAGGCTTATTTCTTGCGTATGTGTCTTGTAGAAGACACTGCTATGCTTGGTTCTTTCCATCTCAGGTAAATCACTGCTTGGCTTCTTGACTGTTTTTGGTCATGCCCTGCTCTCTGGAACTTGACTGAAAATTGCCTTTGGTCTGCAAACTTTTATCCTTCCATAGCTCTACTCCCAGGACTTCCTTCTCATTCAGCCCTGTAATCCATGACCTGTCTCTCACTCACTCTCCTCCTTTCATCAGCTCATCCAGTTGTCTCAGTCTAGTAATGTCTTGCTGTGCAATATCTAGCATGTGACCTGCATGTGGCCATACATCTTAGAAGTGTCATGCATTGATTAACGTGGCATTTTTCTCTCTGTATATATGTACAACACCCAAGACATTGGAGCATAAACTGTTCTCCTTAGGGAAGCATTCTCTGAAGCTGTATGTTAGAAGCAGGTGGGAAATGGAGTTGTGAATTGATGAAAAGTGGAGAGAGAAAAGAGAGAAAAGAACAGACCAAGGGAAAGAAGAATATTGTTCCTTGTTGTAGCCATCCTGAAGTCAAGTGGAGCAAGGGATAAAAAGGGCTGTGTAGCAAACAAATAGTAAAAGACTGAATGAATTGCAGTAAAGGAAGCTATTGAACAAGTTGCTGTTTTACTCTGTTTTACAGTAAAGCTCTGCCGTCTGGTTATATTTCTTTGGGTGCAGATCAGTTAGGGTAGAATTTTACAATTTGTTGAAGCTCTTTTAAAATTGTGCTGCCACTGGAAGGGGCTATGGAGTCCTCTCCTCTCCTCCAGCTGTGTGTTCCCATAAGTTCCCTTGTGTTAGCTCCAGGATCCATTTTTTTTTTTTTTGCAGGGTTGAGTTTTCAGGGCTCATGCTTGCTGGAGCCAGCCCATGGGAGTTATCAGGTATGAAAGGCCATGGGCAGAAGGGAAGGCAAGAATGCTGTTTTGGCCGCAGCACAGTCTTATGCTAGTTTAAGATATCTGTAAAACTTCTCAAAAAAAAAAAAAAAGTGGGAATGAGAGGAGGGGGAAAGAGAAATTGTTGATATGTTCCTCTGAGAGGGGTTGAGATGTCGCAGTTAGCAGCTTATATCACAGGAGGTGCTTCCTGCAAAACACTGTTTTGACACTGTTGTTGCCTGTTGCTCTATGGAGGGCTCAGACTGCCTTTAAGAACTGCTTGTGTATATTTTTGATTTCCATATCTTTTCGTTGAACTTCCTTTTGCTTCCAGGCTGATAAGAAGGATTCACAAGGGAACAATACAGTATCAGGATTTGAAATTCTTCTTCAAAAGCAACTTAAAGGGAGACAGATGCAGAAAGAAATGGCAGAATTTGTTCGAGAAAGGTAATTAGCACTTTGCTATCAATTTAAGTATTTCCAGTAATATGTATGTTTTTGCTGATTTAGTTATTCCTTATGTATGTTAATCATTTAGCTTAAATTGTGTAAAAGATACGCTACCAATTCTTAAAGCACATTTAATATTTCTTTAATATCCATCCAAACTCTCCAGTTTTCCCCAAGTACAGTTCTCTCTCCTATTTCTTGCTGTGTCAACTTCAGTTAGCCTTTTTAGATGGGGGTAACCAAGGAGATTCTAAGCTATAGATTCAAGAGAAAAGCATAGACATGAGAAAAGCAGAGTAGAAATGACATTTAGAAAGGAATCTTCTTATCTGAAAAATAGAGAAGCAGTGTGTTGACATGGAGCATAGATGCAGTTTCTAAGAGAAGATGTAAAAAGCTATCACCTGGGACTTAAACTGATTATGGAGGTGAATACCATATATAGATATTTAGAGTGAACCTAGAGCGCTATTCACAGTCCATTACTCTGCTGATGTGGTAAGTGTCACCAGTATTTGAAATGACTTGTCATGTGTCCAAGCAAATATAAATCACCTTGAGGATGACTCTCAAAACTTGAGAACAACCTATAGGGAACAAACTGTTTACTCCTAGGAGAGAGGCAGAGCAGTTTGCATTTTCCCTCCTGGAGGTATCTGCAGCAGTTGATGAAGCTGTTATCCTCAGCTATTGCCTCACTATTGGTGCTTCCAGCTGAACTTGTATTACTTTCCTGCTCAGCTGCTGCAGTCACAGCCTGGCTATGTAGGTTTAAATCAATAAGGGTGGGAGCAGGGAACAGGCCAACAAACAGGAATCTGCACTGGAGTTTATGGGGCAGTTTGATCAGGTAGAACTTATAGGTAGGTGCTGTTTGTTTGTGGTTTTTCTTCCTCTCTCATCTCTTTTTTCTAGTAAGATGGATGTGGCAACAGTGGAGAAATACGAAGTATAGCACAGCCAATAAAGGCTGGAATGCCGAACATCCACATTTGGTTCCTTATGTCTTTGACATAACAGGATCCAAAAGTCAGATGCCTGTATGATTCATGAAAAACTGTGACTAGAGGAACCAGGGAGAAGAAAGGCCCTGCTAGCAAAGGAAAAGTAGAACTGAGAAATAGTCTTGCTAAGCTATAAGATGTGGAGAAAGCAAGCAGAATTGTGTGATAGGAATGGCCAGGAAAAAGAGGGAGGAAGCTGCTCCAAAGAGAAGATTATGTAATGAAGTTTGACAGAAACTAAAGAAAGCAGCGTTCAAGAGGGAGGGAAAGTTGGCATGACATGCAAATAGGCTGGCTATAGAGAGAAGAAAGCAGTTCTGACACTAGGAAGAGGCATGCCTGTGTTGTTACTAGAAGAGTAAGTAGGCATGGAGAAAAGACATGACACAAGGAAAGGACAGAAAAGCGTTCAGGGTCTGCTGGGAATGGGGAAGGTTTGGAATTGAGGCTGAAGAGGATCTAGGTGGGAGTTATAAAAAAAATATTTCTTTTTATTCAGGTTGGAACAAGTGATTCGCAGGGGCTCTGTATGGAAAAGAAGGCTGATGGCATCAGGCTGCAGAGATCACTTAAGGAAATAAGAGCTCAGGCCTTTAGTGGCAGCCTTTGGATTTCTAACTAAGAGGGAAGCAATGGTGATTAGATTTGTATGATAATCATCAGGTGGCTCAGGGAATACTATCAAGAACATTTCAGAATGTTTAACTTGTAGAAATCATTCATGTGCAGAAAACTTCACTCCACAGGCCTTCTGGAATCAAGGTTCAGAAAGCTAAGAAAAAAAAAGCTTTGTATAGAAATCTGGAAGACTATGAATCTTGCATTTTTTTTCTGCCTGACACACGTTCAGGAAAGATAGAAACTAGGTAAATAAAGATACAGCAATCAAAAAAGGAAAAGTAGAGGATGGCAGGTAAAATGATAACGTTTAGCCAGTGTTTTGACTTTTCTAACTGTTAATCATCGTATGACTGTGCAGAAAAACAGGAGTGTTTCTACACAAAGATAAGGAGGCTGGATAATAAAACAGAGGAATTGAAACTCTTGGTACCAGATCATGTAGCTGGGCATAAATAGTGATAGCAGACACATGGTAGAGTAGTAGTCATTTTGGACATATGGTGACTGAAGAGATAGGTAAAGATAGAAGAAAGGTTAGAGGGGAGAAGAAGAAAATAACTGCAGACATGGTAATGAAGATCTTTTAGAAGTCCCCAAGTCTGACTTGAATAAGAGAACAATAATCTTCGCATGATTATTTTTACCATACACTTTTAATTTCCGTTATACTTACAGGCAACCTGATTTTTTTTTTTCTAGATTAGAATAGAAGTGCCAACAATAATGGCAAGGTCTAGGTATTCTCAGCCATGATAGTGAGGTTTCTTTATCAAATGAAGAACGAGAGGCAATACTATTTTAAAATTAGTTTATTGAGTAGATGCTTTTAGAGGGGCTGCTTGCAAATAGTAATCTAAAACTGAGCAGTTATGTGTTCATTCAGTTCTCATTGAATTGCAAGGTAGACAAAGGTAGGATATAATTAAGGCTTTAAATTTTAATAAGACACACCTCAAGAAAGGGAGGAAAATAGTTAGGAAGTGGGATGCCTTGTTCCCCTCGTTGTCTTAATCTATTTAGCTTCTTCTTGCGTGACAGTCACATCAGATTATCTTTACCTCCCTTTTCTGTATCTCTCTAGTTTTGCTATAGCCATTGTAGGATAGCATGACTGGAAAGAATGATTTAGGTATGGGCACACTATGTACTCTATTAAAAAAAAAATTAATGTAAGAGAGCCAGAACAAACATCTTGAAGAGCAGCTAGAACTAATAAAGGAGAACAGTGTCACAAAATCTAATGGACAGTATTGATCAAAAGTGCTTAGAAATGCTTTTGATTACACAAGGAGTGAAGTTCTGACGTTTTAAAGCAAGTAAGTGGAAACAAAGAGTTTTTTTCAGTGTGAAGCTGAATATATTTATGAGTAACTACATAAAGAACAGGGAAAATTCTAGAAGTAGGGTCACTAAACTTTTATGAGTCTCGATAAATCTAGTGTTTCACAGTAATTGCAATCCAGTGTTTGCAGGTTGTTTGTATCTGCTAAGGCCAGGAAGGAGAATTTGTTTCTTCTTTTGAGGTATACCTTCATCTCATGTTTCAGCTTCCAATGATATGTTCGAGATGTTTTGGCCATAGGTTGTGACAGGATGCAGGATTAGGGTGGGGGCCGTATGTGTCTTAAAGATGGGGCTCTGAAACAGTAACTAGTTTACCTTTTTATTATTATTTGATGTACTTTTGACTACAGCCACTTTTTCCTTACACCTTGCCAAAGTATTCTACAGTCTTAGCAGTGTCAAATGACAATTTATGTATTTGTTTCTGCCCTGAGATTTCAGTCCTGCATTTAGTTGGCTTCACAATCAGATCTTTAGCTTTTTTACAAATGATTTGCTGGTTGTGCTTGGAAGAAAACATGAATAGCCTACAGTTTAAGTAATTTTTAGGTGCTTGTTGAGTATGTCTCTTGTTCACGTGTTCAGTGCTAAATAATTGCTGGGCTTGAGGTTCAGAAGGTGTTTTCCCCCGAGTCACATTGATGGGACTTCTGAAGTCTTTTGCTTCTCTCTCTGCTATGGGCTATAATCCTTTTCTAGGCTCCTCTGGCAACATTACCTAGAAACTCCCTGCTTTTTCAAGGAGCTAGATATAGGTGAAGCCTTTGATCTCTCTTCCTGTTTTTCTCTACAATATACAGCTACATTGGTCTTGTTATAGCAGGCAAGGAAAGCAGTATTTGTGGTGTGGAAGTGAGGAGCAAAGGTGAGCTGCAGACTCTTAATGTGGGCAGCTGGAGGCCAGGCATGGCCCCAGGGATCAACCACCAGGTTGACTTGGGAACAGAGAAAGTCATTCCTAGAGAGAGGAACTATTTGATGAGAAATTAGTCAAAATCACCAGTATGTATATTTTCTTTTGTGAGATGCTGTAAATGGGTGAATTTGTGAGAAAAGCAGTGCAAGACAGCGATGTGGATATTAGAAAACAAGCAGTGCTGGTAGGAAACCCGGTTAGGCGTAGTGCTGCTTGTGGACCCTGCTCACCCTGCCAGTTCTGTGACCAGGCTGAGGAAGTGGCAAATGAGGAGTAAGGTGTTGGCAGTCAACTCCTTGGTCACGACCAGAGATTATAATTCGGAGCCTTTGAGTAACAGAAGAATTTCTGAGTTGTGTGGCTGTAGATTTAGTATTGGGTTGGCTGTGCTGTTTTTATTCTTGTGGAAGAGGGAGGAGGCCCCCATGTGCTGGCTGAGGTCTCTAGTTCTGCAGCTTACCTCTGCAGAGAGCTGAGTATAGCCGTGGGGCTCAACCAACTGCATCTCATAAGAATGACATCCTGTTCAGCTTTCAGCAGCCCAGAGTACCAGACCAGTCTTAGCTGGCTGGAGGGAACCCTTTAGTCCTGAACATGCTATGCTTTGCAGCATTTGTCCAGACAGCTACTGCAAACTGGTATGCTGACAATTTCCCGCCTTCTGTCTTCTTGCTAGAGAAGATAGGTTTGAAAACAGCCTCCTCTTCTGCCCGTACATAGCTCAGCACAGAATCAGGAGATGCTGTGGTGCATTATGGTTCTCTCTCCAAGATGCAACACTGAGCAAGCTCATTTGAAAATCTGCAGATAGCCAGTTGTCCTCCCTAGGAACTATCATGTACACCTTGCAAATGTTTGACTAGGAAAAGAACCTGGGGGGCTGATTTAGGTTTCAGGAATGATGCATGTCACCTCTGACCCTTTTCTTTCCCCTGCTGGGCAATAAAACCTACTCTTGTCACCTTGCTCAACAGCTACTCTCGTTCTTCCTACAGCCGTTCCCATAGAACGCACAGCTCTTCTTTTGTACCAACAGCTTCCCTCTTCCCCTCACCCCCTCCAAAGGCAGCTCAGCTTCTGTTGCTGACATAAGGCTGCTGAATGAATGGAGAGAGAAGGGCCAGGGTCCTGCTGCTCCTATAGGTAGGATAGGTGAAGAGCAGGGACTGCAATCCTACACATCTGTCACAGCAGCCCCTGCCACATCTTCACCAGCTCTGCAAGCTCCAAAAGGGAGCAGGAAGCATTCCACATCCCTAGGAAAGGTGCAGATTAGCACCTCAGATACAAGAAACAAGGGGAACATGTAGTAGCTGTTTATGTATTTTCCACTCAATTTCCTCTTCCTTAATCAGATGAAGCTGATCTCTCTCGCTCCTGTTGGGTTATTTTCTAAACATTTGATCATCCTCATTCTCCTTGGGCTATATCTTTCTCGCTGTGGGAGACCAGGCTCCAGTGGTTGATGGCAGCTCCATTAACAATGATGTGGTATTGCCTACTTTCATTCAGTTTTCTTCTGTATTACTGCATTCCCTCATCTTTGCTTCAAGGATGCGTGAGCTCACATTTAGCAGCATACTGAAACACATGGCTCTCAAGTGAGAGCAGTTTTATAGATAATCCATATTGCACACTAAAAACAGTTTGTCCTCATTCTTTACACTCCAGAACTCTAGCTTTTTCTTCTAATTTTATCACATGTGCTGTCCTGCATATATTCCTGCTTTTGCCACTGCATTGTTAACATATGGAAATGAGAAATGGATCCTAAAATCAGTGCCAAGCACTGAAGACTGAAAGGAAGATTCCTGTGGCAGGATACTTAAAATGCAGAAATTTTCTTTGTATGTATATGGGGGGGATTCTGCCTTAATGCTTACTTATTGCTCTTTTTATTTTCTGTGTGTATGTGTATATGTGTATAGAATAAAGATTGAGGAAGAATATGCTAAGAACCTCTCCAAACTTTCTCAAAACTCCTTGGCTGCTCAAGAAGAAGGGTAAGTTTGTCCCTGTGGCTCTTATAGAACACAAGGATTTCAACACAGAAGACTTTCCTCCTACACAGGTACATGTATTTTTCTGGAGACCTCCCATTCAGAACTACTTTGAATATGGAAGGATATATGCAGCATCTATACTGCTGAAAGCAGATCCATAAGGTCAGGCTGGTAGAATTGGAGTAGCATATGCAAGGGGGTGAAGCAACAGTCTCTTCTCATCTTGGGTCTGGACCTCCAAGAAAAGTAGCAGGCTGTCCCTGATTTGCAGCATATTCACTGCAGAAAAGGAGAGAATGAAAGAGGCCTTGTTGAGGAATGCAGTGGATGTCCTTCATCTTCCCAGCAGTAGGACATCTCTGGCTCTTATGCTTCTTCCACTAACAAAGACTGTAGAACATACCAAAGTAGAAACACTTTGTAAGTTACTAAGATTATAGGCAAAGGGCTTCAGACTAGATTGTAATTCTTCAGTGATTTAATGAAAAGACACCACCACAAAAGGATTACAAATAGTTAGCTGTAGCTGTTCCAATGCAAACCCTCTAAGCAAAGAAACCCAAGGTTTGAAATGACTGTCTTCACCTTAATTCTCACCCAGTGTGTTTCTGCTGGAAACTGTGGACTGAGACTCCAAAATTTAGAAGTTTCCTCTGCTTCCTGTGATGAAGGACATAAATTGCAAGACAGCAAGCAGATTGTTGCCTGTGTTGTTCTCTAGACATCTTTGGCTATGGTTTCTATTGTTCTTTCCCCATTAGGCATAGGCATCATCCTGCTCAAGTCACCTTCTTCCATGTCCTCCTCCCACTTTCTGCAACTCCAAATAGAAGGAAGTGAGAAAGTGTGAAAAAACAAGCAGGAAGGAAACTGGAGAACAGTAGATGAAAGAGGGAAGGAATAAGGATTGAATCATTAAAAATGATAAAAATAGGAAACTGAAGGGGATGCTGAGCAAAGTACCCCAGCATTGCTCAGAGGTGTCTTTAGATGTCCAAGGAGCCAGGGACGCTTCGCAGTGGTGCTTAGCATAGAGACATGGCAAGATGAGGTAATGCAAAGAAGTCCTGGAGGCCCTGGAATTTCTTGTCCTCCTGGAGTTGTGGTGGCCAACCTGGCCAGGACCAGGAAGAGGCTAATGAGAAGGTACTGTGAATTGGTAAGGCCCAGAAAGGAGAAAGTTTTCACTAAAAAAAGTGAGGGGGGAAGAGCAGCCAGCAGGACAATTTGAAGCCAAAAGTGGGACTACAGCCTGGCACACTAAAAGTACACATTTGCCAGTGTCTTCTGCTCATTCCTGAGAAGGTGTGAGGGGGCCCATGACCTGCACTGTGAACGTACCAGTTGCCACTTCTGGTAATCCTCCATAGAGGATTTTCTGTCTTTGCTGCCCAGTGGGCTATTGAATTGACTTAAACTATAAGCTGTTCTTCTAGAGTCCTTTGCCCTCTTCTGATGATAAGAGGACCCACCAGTGTGTATGTGAGTGGGATGTGAGTGTGAGGAGATGGAGCTAATTTGTGATATTAGGATGGTTCTAGCCACACTGCTGTGATTATGGTGCTGTTGTGTAGGTATGGAAGATAATATAATCTGTGATCATTTAAGTCATAGGAGTTGGATAAAACATTGACAAGATGCTTAGGAGGCTGAAATGCCTTTTTCCCTGAAAAGGTCAGCTACAATCACGTAACTAAAATAACTAGTACCAGTGAGAAATGGACAGTGGGGGGACCTCAGGATGGGACTAGGGAAGGAAAAGAGCTGAGAGAACATACACAGACTAAGCATTCTCAGGTTGTGTGGCTGTAAGGAACACTATATTTGGGGGCTCATCTTACTGGAGCAATGTGGGAGATTACAGATTTTTTTTTTTTTTGAAATTGCAGGTGATGGACCATGTTTCAGGCTACTATGAAGGGGTAAATGCCACTATCTTTGAAAAGTGTTGGGGAGGAGAGGGGAAAGGAGTTAGGAAATTGTAGAACCATCAGCTTTACATAACCTCCTGGATAAGTGGTAGACTAAACAATCAAACTTTTTAGAAGCACTTAGCAGAAAACAAGGTGATGAGTAATTATTGTGGATGTATACGGAACAAATGATGTTGATGGAATAACAGGCCATTTGGAAGAAGGAGTCAGCATCATACCTCTTAATTTAGTGTAGTTTTTGACAATGGCAGATTCTTGTAGGCGGGCAAGAGAAATGTGGCCTAAATAAAAATGGAGGTGCAAAACTATTTGAGAAGGCATACTATTTACTAACAGAAAGTAGCTATGGAGTGAAATTCTGTAAGGTTTGTCCCAAGGTCCTGTTTTGTTTTTGTTTTGTTTTTTTCCACAATAGTTTCACCTATGATAGAATAAAGATTGTGTTTCCTGAAATCAGGAATGAGACAGTTGGGAAGGACTACATATACAATTTGAAGAAAAGATTAGAATTCAGGATGATTTTGATAAACTAGAGAAATGAACTGAAAAAAACTAAGATGCCTGTCAGAAAGGACAAGGTTTTATACTTTCACAGCATGGGAAAGATAGTTACATAACCATTTGTGGGAGAAGGATCTGGTTATAGTGAATCACAAGCTTATTCATCAGCAACTTTATGCTGGTGTCTTAAAAAAGCAATCATACTGAGATATATAGAAGAAGGAATCTCTGGCATGAATTAATCCTTCTCGGTTTAACAACTGGAAGGCCTCATTTGGAAGACTGTATAGTTTTGTTTATGACATTTAAGAAGAATCTAGGCTATAGGAGAGTGTCTACAGAAGTGTACCAGACTGATCACAGTCTGGAAAAAAAAATCTCTGAAGAAAAGAGAAAGTGGAGAGAAGAAATGGTAATTTTCAAATACTAACAGGTTTCTCCAAGGAAAGATAGAATAATCTGTTCACCAAATGTAAGTGGGCAGTGGAAAAAAATGCATAGGTGGAGATTTATTTTAAGTATTGGAAAAAAAAAACCTTTTTAACAGTGAGGATAAGATGCTGAAATACGCTGCTTAATGAGACTGTAGAATCTCCTTAACTGGAGGTCTTGAAGAACAGCATGGTCAAAGGTCTGTTACGTAAAATGTAAATACAATTCTACCTTAGTTTACAGAGATGACTTATCAGATATTTGCTGTCTCTTTTCTGTGATTCTGCTGCGCATGATATGGTACAAAGCATCAGTATGTCATATGGGGCTGTCTTATGAATCTTACTGAGATGATGTCCAGAAGATAGGGTATTGATCAGTGTTGCACTGTTTTTTCAGAACACTGGGAGAGGCTTGGGGTCAACTAAAGAAGAGTCTAGCAGATGAAGCAGAGGTTCATCTCAAATTTTCGTCTAAGGTAAATACTTAATTCTCCCTTTTGCAAAGCTCTTTGCCCTACAGTTAACAGAGGTCACACCTTCAGTGGTTATTAATGGGGAAAATACACATGCACATGTTATGTATTTTGAAGAATGAAGAAGTTGGCGAATGAACTTCTGAAGCTGGTGAATGAAACTGTCTGTTTTTCCTGCCAAAATCGTAACTTACTTATTCTACCTGATAAGTAGGTTAAAACACATCTAGTCCTGTTTTTTTCATAAAAAGAAGAAAACTGATTCTAGCTGTTATTTACCTAGGGATCTAAATTCTAACCTTTTCAAGTAAATCTACCTATATCACTTCCGTAGAAGAAGAGATAAAAAAAAAACATGGCTTTTTGAAAAGAATCTACCAAATCTTTCTGCAAGGAAGAGAACCCAGGGCTCTTACTTCTTAGTATCGTTAAGTTTTCTGAGAAGTGCAGTGGGAACTTACTTCATGCTGTTTTGGGTTTTCTGTCAAGTGATGCCCAAGGAGATTTCATCTAAAAATCATTCTATTTATCTGTTCTTTTCTAGCACATGTGACATAATCTTGCATCCTGTTACATTATGTTAACCTCTGTGGGTGATCACATTCAATATAATTCCAGATATCTAAGCACAATAGTTATGTTCTGGAGGAAAATTATAGCTCTGCGCTGTTTATGAGTGATTATGCACAGGTTTCTAAGGCAGCCAGCAGTTGCCTTGGTAACCTACTGTTCTTTTTCAAACTTCTACTACTTCAGGTTTCTAATTAATGAAATACTTTTTGCTGCCTGTTGGCCTCACAGATTGATTTCCAAGAGCAAAAAATACACCCTGGAGTAGAGCATGCAAGTAGTCAGACAGTATATATGGGTTCTTTCATTATTCTGCTTCTCTATAAACCCTCCACAGGAACTCCTGTAGCATCCTCTGACCTCTCTCCATGCTGCTGCTTTACTTGCTTTGGAAGACAAGCAGTTGGTAGACCCAGCTTTGTTTTATTAACAGCATACTTTAAATTCATAAATTATGGCCATTATTCCCAGAGAAGTTATTCTTAAATATAGTAACTGAATTTCTTGTTGATAGTCAAATGAAACCAGACAGTGCTGTACACAAAACAAGCAGTACAGTGCAGAATACACCAAGAATATTCAAAAGTAAACATTACCTGTGAAGATACTGAATAACTTTCATGGCACTCCTTCAAAACACTGTTACATGGGGAATTATGAAGCCATCGTAGAAGATGACAGCACTCTCAGGGCATTTAGAAAATGGGGTGTTATTACACCACTCATGCCTGTACAGACTGGAATGATAGCTATAGACAAGATATGTACAGGCAAGGGATCCTTCAAGAAGGCCATCATCATATTGAACCCCTTCTCCAGCCATCTAATTATCCATCACTTAACTCCAGTAGGGAGATTCTGTTATGGAAGAGAAGATATGCATACATTATAGTAGTTGAAGAGACATAGAGACTAGCCATAGAGTCATACAGTACAGCTAACAGAGGCAGCGAACAGATGCAGCAGATTGCACAGCAGTGTCTGGGCTCTGCTTGAGCCTTTTGTGGACCTTGTTGGAAGTTGTGGAGGCTTTCTGGGGACCCCCAAGGAACTAGACAGTGCAAACAAGAAAGGAGAGCTAGGCAAGGACAACTACAGGAGGCCTTAACTTCTCCTGGGAAGCTCTAGCTAGCTGTAGCTGCTCATAACGAGCTCTCTTGGTTGCCCTTGATCAGAGGGAGTTGGGGCCTTGGATCCAAGTGGCCCTTGATTAGGGTGGGTCAAGCACCCTGTGAGTCAGTGCTAGGGAGAGGCCTCTATAAGAGCCAGGCCTAGAGTGCAGCTCCCAGAGTACATTGAACAGATGCAGCTGTTTGTGCAGAAGGATGCCAAAAGGCAAAGAAAGTGTCCTCATGTCCTGTAGTAGTGTGTGCTACAGGTAGCACACACATGTGTATGTAGCACATTTCTTGTAGTAGTGTGCCCAGGTATGGTCATGACCTGCCGCAGAGCATATTCCCCAGTGGCTGTTGGAGTTACTGCGTCAGCTGTGTCTGAAGCTTCAACCCAGACAGACCCTCTGACATCAGAGGCAGTTCTACAGGTCTTAGGCTGCAGGGAGTGCTTGGGGCCTCTCGGTGAGGCCTGGGCTGACAGTCAGCTCTCCTGCAGAAGGTGTGCTGCTGTTGATGAGTTGTATCACCAGGTAAAGGAGTTATGGGAGGAAGTCAGTAGGCTGCGTACCATCCGAGAAGACAAGCAAGAGATTGACAGGGTGTTTTTGGCGACCGTGCAGCTCCAGGAGTCCCAGCCTCCCACAGCAGTGGAATTGCCGGAGGGCTCTGTGCCTTGTGAAACAGTACATCATAACGCTGTAGAAGAATGCTGGAAACTGGTCACTCCTTGTGACCAGGAGGAACAAGTTTAGCACCCTCTAAGCTGAGGAGGAGCTGGGCATGGCTTCAAGGGAGGCAACTGGCCTGCCAGACTCTTTGTCATTCAGGAACACCCGGAAGAAGCAGCGAGTGATTGTTGTGGGTGACTCCCTGCTGCAGGGGACAGAGGCACCTATCTGCTGACCTGACTTCTTCGCTAGAGAGGCTTGCTGCCTGCCAGGGGCTCGAAGAAGAGATGTCATGGAAAGACTGCCGAGGCTTGTCCATGCATCGGACTACTACCCTCTGCTGCTCTTCCGTATGGGCACTAATGACACCAAGGGCAAACTGGATACCATCAAACAGGACTTCAGAGCTCTGGGGATGGAGGTCAAGGGTCTGGGAGCCCAGGTCATTTTCTCCTCAACCCTGCCTGTGAGGGGGAAGGACGGGAGGAGGAGTAGGCGGATTTTCCAAGTTAACAGCTGGCTGCACTGCTGGCGTTGGCAGCAGGGTTTTGATTTCTATGACCATGGGACCCTGTTTGAAGATCAACAGCTGATGGGGAGAGATGGGATCCACCTCACTAAGTGGGGCACGTGTGTCTTTGCCAACAGGTTGACCGGCCTGGTAAGGAGGGCTTTAAACTAGGAAAGATGGGGGAAGGGGAGTGGTATAGGGTCAGGCTAGTCAGTAAAATGCTGCTCAAGTCAGGATGCCTCCAGCGGGTGCATGCAGCCAGGGGAGTGCGTACGGGACATGGCTATGGAGGATCCTCTTGCACCTGTCCTGAGAAACCTGCATGCTCGATTGCCTCTCTGAAATGCCTGTACACCAATGTACGCAGCATGGGGAATAAGCAGGAAGAATTAGAGCTCTGTGTGCGGTCGCAGGGCCATGATCTCATTGCAGTGACAGAGACATCATGGGATAGCTCACATGACTGGAATGCTGTCATGGAGGGCTATGTGCTTTTTAAGGAAAGACAGGCCAGGAAGACGAGGTGGTGGAGATGCTCTTTATGTGAGGGAGCAACTAGAATGTGTGGAGCTCTGCCTCGGGGTGGATGAAGAGCAAGCTGAGAGCCTATGGGTAAGCATTAAAGGGCAGGCTAACATGGGTGACACTGTTGTGGGGGTTTACTACAGGCCACCTGATCAGGAGGAAGTCATCGATGAGGCCTTCTAC